TGCAGCAGGAATATCTTACTTCTATCGGCCTCGTGGGAGCGCAGCAGCTTCAGACGCGGAAAACTGGAGGCGGATTGATAGGTGGCCCGTCGGCTGCGGGCAAAGTGCAGGAGAGGGTGTTTGCTGTCAAACACTTCGCCGGCACAGTTCTATACGGTACTGATGGATGGCTCGACTTGAACAACGACAGAGTGAGAACACCACTCCGATGAGTAATCTATCACCCAGCTTTTTCGTGCACTGCAGTTTCCTTGGCTAGGACAAAATGCAACCTACTTGTGTGCGCCTACAGATCGAGCACGAGCTTGAACATCTCGTGGCGAAGTCTACGAAGTCGCTTTTGCGGCACGCGATGGAGCAGCACGAGGAAAGTCAGAAACAAGAAGGAATATGCGTGGCCACCACAGGCGGCGGCCAATTCTCCTCCATTACAAAACGCTTTTTGAAGAGTGTGAAGGACCTAAGTCAGGAGTTGCAGGGACCTCATATGCAGCTTCACTTCATACGATGTTTCATTCCCAACAGCCAGATGAAGCCTGACAAGTTTGAAAGGAAGACCGTATTGCATCAGGTAGGAAATTCACCAGCGTGAAGACATTGGCGGGCCAGTGGCGAAGTAAAACCGCCCACAGCTAGTTTATCGAGTGTAGGTGTATTTTGGGGTGGCGTCGCTCGATAATGATGTAAGAGTGTGCGCGGCAAGTGGTTCCGGATGAATAGTCGCAGCAGCACTCCAAAAGGTTTTATGCTGAAGTAGAGAAGAAGAAGCTTGGGCCAGCTAGTTTTGGGGGCTCAGCTTTTTTCACAACGAGCGCTGTTTTACCTAATGTGCGGCTATTGATGATGGTGGTGTTGCGTTTTGCCTCTCTTCCAGTTGCAACATTCGGGATCTTTGGCTCTGGTGGACATCCTGCAGTCGGGCTTCCCTCATAGAATGCCACTGCGCGCACTCGCCTCCAAACTGCGCAAGGCATTGACCCCACTTGTCGCGGAAAGGCTGAAGGAGCAAGAGGAAAAGGTGCAGAAACTTTTAGCACATGCGGAACTGCAAGATATCGTCTCACGGGAGCGACGATTACTGGAGACATTAAGACACTGCAACCCTGTTGCTGCCAGGGACCGAACGCTAGGTAACTTGACCCAAGGTTGTTTTGCCGCACAATCGGTACATAAGGACTGCTACGGGCTGTCGACCTCCACACGTTCCACCTTGTTTCTCAAATATTTCCCAGATTGATGTTTTCCTTCTTTCTGCTGCAGTATCAGCTACTCTCGGACTGTTGCCTCAGAGCCGGCCGGGCTCCTTTATTTGTGGCGTTTCTCTGGTCTGCTTCAAGGCGGCCGTCTACGGAGAGGCTGCAGCGTTATTGGCCGATCCGGGCCACTTCTTTAAAACTCCCGAAGACGTGTGCCGACTTATCACAGCTATCCAGCGTCTGCGGTGGCGTGTTGCCGTTCGCATCATTCTGAATGTGCATCCGACCCTACTATGGCTACAGCGGAGAGCCTTTCTGATGAGGAAAATTAAAGAAGCAGCGGTCACTGCTGCAGTTAGGATGCTGTTGCTGAGAAAACTTGTTCTGAGGCCCCTAAGAGACCGTGTCCAACGTCGCATTTCAATTCGTCACGGCGTAAGAGCACTGGAACGTATACTGTTGCGGCAGGGCCTTCAAACATGGCGCAGGTGTCGAGAAGCGCTAGTCGTGGCGGAGGCAGCAAAGGCCCTTCTATCTCAGCAGCGAGCAAAGGGAGACGACACGATTTCAAAAACTCGTAGTCCCCGTGCCGGTGAAGTGTCCAGTGGGAAAGCCGAAGTGCCACGAGCGACGGAGGGAGAAGAATACCAGTCGCATCATAGCTTACCGATCTGGAATGCTCGTTTATTTCGTCTAAGGGGAATAGAACAAGAGGGCCTTACGAAAGAGCACCGGGTTGCCCTGTTCCCTGGGCGAGATTTGTACTCGATCCACTACGGTGGTGACTCTTGGCCAGGTTCAGACCAGCCAGCGACGTACCAGGAAGACAGCGAGCAGCCTTTAGAAATTCAGAAGGTTTCCTTTTCTTCGTCGTTGATGCAGAAAGAAAATCCGCCACACAACGATCCCTCAGTCGGGCAGACTTCTGCTGCGGAAGGCAAAACTCCCACACCAGGTGAAATCAGCACTGGGACACCTCTTGTGACTATTGCCAAGCACCCATCCTACACTAACTTATACGTGGCGTGCACCTCAGCAGCTCAGCTTTTGTTGCTTTCGACGTCGTCCACTGCTGATTCTGAGGTGGAGAACAGGCAGGCGGCAGACGAGAACACAAATCGGTGTGCAAAAGGTGGTTCCAAGGTTTCTGGTGAACCGTCAACGTCTCTACCGTGCCTCGCTTTCCCTTCCAGAACACCCAGCTCTGCAGATTCTCCCCAGTCTCTTGACAGCAGCGGCAATAGCTGTACAACTGGATCAGCCAAAATTTCCGCCAAGAAGGGCAGAGCTCCTTCATCGTGGGACTCTTCGCTTCCCAGATCCGGCTCAAAGGAGCTGAAATTCCCCACTAAGTTTTTGCCCTCGATACCCATTCCACCTGGGAAATGGATACCACGAGATCTTCTACAGCAAGTGACCCGAGCTGTCCAACAGCAGGGAGATGCAGGCCAACCACGGCCCCCCACTGTGAGACCCCTAAGTATTTCCTTTGCAAATCCACTTACAGCTGACTATGCCATTGTCGTGTGTCTCGTGCAAAGTGGCAGCAAAAACAGCAACACCCACAGTAGCACCAACATCTTGGGAAAGCTCATTGCTGTCCTAGTAGATTTAGTGAGAAGGGCGCCAGCTGGCTGGATTCCTCTATGCTTTGCATCTCATGACATTTCCATCTGCGCCCGCCGCAACTCTGCCTTGCTTCAACAACTTTCTGAGGCAGCTCTATCATCATCTTCCAACAGTCATACTGGACAGAGCAGTGTCTCTGCTGAGGACCACCAGTCCCCACGATGCCAGCGACCTACAGCGCGCAGCCGCAGCACCATGCTCTCCACAGTTCGTCTGCAGCCTCTCTGGGGCAACCTGTGGGCTGTTACTGGACCCTCTCTACTGGCTGTCTTCTCAGTCAACCTGAGGTTCCTGCATCACCCACCGGCACGTCCTGAAGGCCAATCATGCATCAGGGACCCCCCGCTGCGCCTTCTGTGGAACATGCCCTCCATTCCGGTAATAATCTTGTTCACTGGCTCCCCACCGCAATACGAAGCTTCCTCCAACTACCGTTATCATGT